GCTGAGCCTGAAGCTAGATGCTTAGCCTGCATGAACTCAGCTAACCGACAGTCTCCAGTCCCAGTACAATCTCCAGTGAACCTGCTCCCCAGTCTGAACCAGTTCCAGTATCAGTGTTTAAAATAAACTCTTTTGAACTTTTACCCAGTTCCCCGTGTGTGTTCTGCATTTTGGGCTTTAGTCCTAGAACCCATCATGACAAGTAGATGTTTAGCAGCAAATTTACATTAAAGAAGTGTCTTTGTCTCTGCTTCATCATGTAAATAGATAATCCACCAGCAGCCCCGTTTCTTCAATGTTTTGTCATAACACATAAAGATTAATGAAAAATAAGCTCTCAGGGACAACATAAAAATATTGGTTCTTTAATAATGTTATAGTGAAACCTAATACACACAATCCTAGATCTGTTTTCAGAGATGAATGTATGGGGCATTAATAAGGCATTCAATAATAAGCTGGAAAATAAAGAAAATATCCAGTCTAGACAGAGGATGAAAATCGAGATTTTATCTGATGAGAGGAAATTTAGATGTTCGATCATTAAGTTTAAATATTTACAATATACCAACCTTCAAGGGAAGCCCGAGTTTCATGTTTTAACTATTTCTTTTTTTCTCCATGTTCACACCAAATTCTTTTTAATAATAATTTAACTTAATTGATTTCACATGCTTTCATATGCTTCAAAAACACTCAGAAGTGAGTAAATAAATAGTTTTTTGTACATGACTAAAGGGATACACGGCCGTTGAGATAGTTTAAAGTTTATTTTTTGTACAAAACTAAAGGGATAAAATAATATTGACTGTGGGTATGCTGATCTGACAGAACACCGCCACTCCCTCATCTGTAGCTCTAGAGAGAGAGCCTGCCTGCAAGTGCACCACCACCTGATTGGTCAGATGCCTAGCGATGATAATCATTGTGGGGTCATATTACAGTTGATTAATGTTTAAGGATTTAGAGAGTAACTAGTAATGAACTGAAGATAAAAATATTAGGGTTTTACTACATAAAAAAAATGTTCATCCCTCTTCTTACTCAAATAGATGACAGTTATCTAAAGCAAATTTAAATTTGGAGCATTTGAATTGGTTGGAAGGATAAATGTCATTTAAAGTTTTGAAATTAATCTCTTTATATTTAGGCGGGATAGCAAATTTGAGATATTTGGTACTCAACCCTATAATTTTTGGAAATTTTGTTTAATAGGAAAAGTATTTTAATTGGATTAGGATATAAGATATTTGTTGACACTTTTCTTAAAAAAATGTTTTGCATTTTTTGCCCCTTATAATGATTCCTTTAATAAATACATTTTTAATTTTATGAACTGGAATATTACTGAGACTACCTTGAACTAAATAGATAATGTTTTTAGGATATAATTTATAGTTTGTCTATATTCTTGGGATGAGAATAATAATAATAACATCAATCTCCATCACTTCTCACTACTGTTCCAGGTGCTAATAAAATTTCTGAGGAGCTTCAACTGCAGCACCTTATCAGATGTATAGTCCCCACACTGCAGATATATTAGAATCTGTCCTTAAATGTCAGCCAAACCCACACACAATCACACAGTATCAGATAAAAACCTTTAGATAAACAGAACATTACCCGCCACATATTTGACACCATAACCATTTCAAAAATTATTTTCATTAATTTCAGATGGAAGTATTCACATACTTGTATTACATTACACTGAATTTCCAATATTCTCCACTATTAGGCGCCAAGTACCTTTTTTCTCTGTTCACGGAGCAGCCTGCCTGCTTGGACACAATGAATCATGGGATACACAAGGCTACGTAGGATACACCGGACCCATCCTTCAAAATGGCAAAAAGAAGATTGCATTTGTCCACCGCATAACGAGGAGTCTTGCAATCTGAACAGACCTCGGCGCCTGAGCTATGACGTAATCAGCCTACAAATTTGGCCTTCAGCGGACGCATCCCCTGAATTCAAAGTCAGTAATTACACATTCTCTACAACAACAAACATCAAAGAGCAAGGTCCCATGGTGTCCTGCTGCAAAAGCTATAAATGGGGGCACCTGTCACCAGAGAGGAAGCCCCTGAGCAGAGTTTGGGTTGGCATGGTAACTGCATTAACACATGGCTGACTTTTTCAAAGCTCCATGGGTTCAGTTCTTCAGTTTAGTGTGAACTGAACATCACCGTTTCAGATATGGACATTTGAATTTCATCGAAAAGATCACTTAGGAACCTTTGATAGGAATTGAAAGTGTTGTCTTTGTTAGATCAACAATGTCCTATTTCAAAACGTTTTGTTTAATATTGATTTGGATTATTTTCAAAGAATTATTGCTTTTTTTCATCTATATGAATAAATCTTATTGCCACACTGGGTATCCTTTTAAAGAACGATTTGTCATCAACAAAATTGTGGTTTGTTGGATACATATACGTCTTCATACCAACCTCTCTTCCTTTATTCTACTGAATGATCAGTAAATCTAATCCTAGATATGTTCATAAGATTGTATTTCCAGATTCAAGAAAAAAATTATTAATTAAAAAGAAAATGTAAAATGTTTGACCTGAATTGTGGCTTCAGGTGAAATCAGCCTGACCCCTGCTGGACCAACAGAGGAACTATGGACACTTAGAAACTCCTCCAACCCTGAACTCGCTGGAGACCGAATTAGTGAAAAAAGTATCCAGCAAAAACAGTTTTATTAATACTAGAAGTCCCAAATAATTACAGTTTTCCTGTAAGCTTATTGTCTATGTATCCTACAAGCTTAGTGGCACTACAATGATATTTAGTGTAACTAATGGCTATTATAAGCTTATAATAACAAAAAAAACTCAAAAAACAGAGTTTAGCACATTTTCCCAAAGTAAGAGTTGTAGTATGATCCAAATGAGGTTATCTATTTATCCTACAAAATTGGAGGCACTACAGTGATCTATAGTGTAGTCACTGCCCATTTTATTCTTATTCTAATAATAAAATAGAGGTGCCATTTGTCATTTAGGCTTTGGAAAATTTCTCAAAAAGTATTATTTTCTAATCCAATAAATGTGATATGAAAGACATGAGATCAGATACACATGAAATGAATTTGATAATGATCCACCTCTCCTTGGTGACACTTTTGAATATTTCTCTGTGATTATTTTGCAACTTGCAGATGGTCCCTAAGCAGTTGTGGAGAAGCAAGCTCCGCATAGGGTCCAATTCTATTCTCCCAGCGCGATAGGAGACTCGTTTTGAGGAAACTACGGTTGTGGCTCACTGTCTGCCTTGCTGTGGTTTGCGGAGGGGTGTCTGTTTTGTAGAATAAATCATCTGCAGGCAAGTTTTTAATCCGGAAAAGCCGAATCTGTGAATATATTACTCCTCCTGAGATATATTTACCCCCTAGTAAAGAAGGCAGATGGTCATTATTGAATAAATATTCTTACTTTCTACAGTGTTCCAGCTCATGCAGCCATTTTCATTGTACAGATCAGTTATAATCTGACCGCTGTGCTGGTGGCTCCGCTGAAATCATTTTGGTGTTGACGACAGTGATGACATAGACCTATTTATATTTAATTACAAATATGAAATCCCCACCGCCATCAGGTAAAACAGTCTCCAATAGAGAAGTGCAAGCTAAAACCGAAACTAAAAAGGGGTGGAATGGTTCTCCAGCCACAGCCCTAATGGGGCATATACATCTGAGAAGGGATTCATGAGTTGTGAAGTAGTGTTGGGGGGACTAGAAGCTGATGAATATTCTCGCATCCCTGGGATTTCTAGTGTTAACAGGAATAAAAATATGGAATCAAAACATTTCAAACTGAGTCAGTTTCAAACAAATAAAACATTCAGACAGAGCTCACATCTTTGCAGCTGAAGGTTGGTCTGATTTAAATTTGATATCCCAACCCTTTGAATATTCGCTCTTTTAGGAAACACAGCTGGATTCTGGTTCTGCTTTGAGTTTCTGATGGATCCTGAAGGAAAAACCTTGAATTCATTCTTAGTCTAATAATGTATTTAAAGTTAAACAGTGAAGCCCTGATTTGAAGTAGATCCAAATATTAATATTATTATTAATGATGTAACCATAATTAGCTCTGATGATAATTAATAAGGGATGATGTTTGGTTTCTTTGCAGGAACTGAACAATAATCAGAAAGTTTGGATGTAGAACAGTGTTTAATGTGTTCTGATCTTCTATCCTGACAAAGTTCCTTTCTTTGGATCCGAGTCAGTACTGCTGATTGAGAAACAAGTTAATTTATCTGCTACTTGTTTGTTTTACTTTTTAGTCTTAAACTGATGATTAAACCCCTTTAGAGCAGCAGCTTTGTTCTCAGCTGAAGCAGCTCAGCTGGAGCTTCTGTTCAGATTTGTATGTTAATACAGGTCATAGTGGTGCATTCATAAATTTCTATCAAAGATTCATATTGTCATTATCATTAAACTTCCTCCCAGCAGCAGATCAATGATCTTGTATTTCTAATGACATGTAGCGGCTGCTGAAGGAGACTGTGGAGCAGTTTGCTAATAATCAGACTGATGATCATTTTGAATGAACACAGATTAACTTCAGAAGCTGCAGAGTTAATTGATGTTTGCAGATAACAGTCAGAGATCATGTTTTCCATCAGATTTAATTTGGCTGATTTAGTTTCCATCTAATAGTTGAATCAGCATCATGACTTGCCTACATGTGCATCACCTTAAGCTCTGCAGAAGCACCAACTCTGGTTCATTAATGTGACACAAGGTGATCCAGAAAGATTTAACTGGATAGAAGAACAACTGATTATAACACGCAGATACTCTAAGAAGATCTTTTCATATCATCACAATACAAAAATCCTTTGATTATTTCTTTTTTCAGCCTCCATCAATTACTGCTTCACATGTGAACACAGACATGTGAAAAAGAGTTGTGTTCACGTTGATATGTTGAAAATAAGTTAGTTTAAACAATTAAGTGGTACATTTAGAAACAGCTCACCTGTTTGCTGATGAAGGTTGGTCAAATTTTAATTCAATTAAGGCAGTGTTTGACATGATGTTCTTTAAGCAAACACAGCTGGGTTCTGGTCCAAGTTCTGGTTGTTTCCTGTGAATACAGATGGTTTGTTGATGTGCATGCTGAGCTCTGACATGGAGAACAGTCCTCGACAGTTAGAGATGGTGATCTGACCTCTAAGCTTTCCTCTGCTCCTCATAAGTGGTTTTATAGGGAGGGAGTCTGTCCTCTCTGTCCTCTCACTGATGAATTATGCTCACTTCAGTTGAGCTGCAGCCAAGAACATAGCATGATGCGACATTAAGACTCACTGATTCACACCTGTAGCTACTTCTAATGTTAAATTGGAAGACCTAAAGCGTTTGAAAGCTCTGTTTATAAACAGAAAGTAAAGGTTGATGTTGAAGGAATGCAGTGATTCCAGTTTGACTGAAAAGTCTGATTGAAGGAGCTATATATTAACAGACTGTAGATCAGTCAGTGTTTCATGATAGAGCTGCAGTTGTATTACTAGGAATACAAATGTAGAATCAAAACATTTCAAACTGAGTCAGTTCAGTTTCAAGCAGTTGAAACATTTAGACAGAGCTCACCTCTGTGCAGCTGAAGGTAGGTCTGATTTAAAATTGATAAGGCGACCCATTGACCAGTCGCTCTTTAAGGAAACACAGCCGGGTTCTGCTTTGAGGTTCTGTTGGATCCTGAAGGATAATGGAGGTTGGCCTGATTTAAAATTGAAAGTTTCATCCTTTGATATTATGCTCTTTGAGGACACACACCTGGGTTCTGGTCCAAGTTCTGGTTCTGTCTGTCTTCTGTGAATAAAGATGGTTTGGTTAATGTTCATGCTGAGCTCTGACATAGAGAAAAGTCCTGGACAGTTAGAGATGGTGATCTGACCTCTGAGCTTTGCTCTGGTCCTCATGTTCTCCACACAGAGTGGTTTTAGAGGGAGGGACTCTGTCATCTCTGTCCTCACACTGATCCATGCTGCTCACTTCATATCAGCTCACAGACCTGGAGCTGCAGCCTAAAACATAGATGAGGAAGATATATTTACATTAGCTGATTTCCACCTATAGTTGCACCTAAGGTTAAATTAGGAAACCAAAGTGTTTGAAAGGTAATTTTAAAAACATAAAGTAAAGGTTTGTGTTAAAGGATTGCATGGATTCCAGTTTGACTGAAGGGTCATACTGAAGGAGCTATAGAATTCCAGAATGTAGGTCGAAATGAGTTTCATGCTGCAGCTGAAAAATTAAACCAGTTAAATGCTGCGTTTTCCAACCATCAAACTATAAAATGTGATTTTCACATTTCAGTTAAAGCTGAAACTCTGAAAATGTAGTTTAAATAAATGTAACCTAATTTGACTTTGAAAGGATATAAAAGCATCAGTAAGCTGTTGTGTCTGACTCAAAAAAGGTAGGATGTTTAATTAATAACAAAGAATAATTTAGTTTAACTGAAAAAAATACCTAAAGATCAACTCTTCATCATGTTGACTGTTTTCGGATATTTAATAATCTTCTAAATGCACCTTTAAACATAAAACTCATGAAACTTTGAGCTGATATCAGAAGAAGACAAATTAATGTCAAAATTTAACTATGAAGAAAAATAAACTTACAGTTTGCTTTAACTTCCCAAAGAGCTGAAGAGACTTGACAGGTGAACCTGAGGCTGAGCTGCTTTCTGGAATGAGTCAGAGCTTCACCTGTGATGGAGGTGGAGCTTGAAGAGAAACAGGTAGGAGGGACAGCAGAAGTTTCTTCTAAATTTTAATTACAGGGTTGTTTTTTTCTTTCTATTCTAAATTAATCTCTTCTGTTGCTCAGAAACTATGAAGGAAACCCAGAAAAACCTGTTTGCAGGAACTGATCCTACAGGCTGCTTGTTGTGAGACGTGTCTGACTTTAGATGGTGATTTAAGTGTCTCTCTAAGGAAAACTGTTTTAAAAGAGAGGAGACAGAAAAGGTTCAGATGTAAGGAGCATGTTTCTGAAGTTGATCCTAGAAGCTCTGCCATTAGAATGTTGGATGCAGTTTGATGTTGTTCTGCTGTAATATTCCAGCTACACTAAAAATTCCTGGTTAGCTGAATTGATCATTTAAATCCCAGTGAACCCAGTAGAAAGAGACTGAATAAGCTTGTGAGGAAGGCCACTTCTGTCCTGGGCTGCCCTCTGGATTCGGTGGAGGAAGTGGCTGACAGGAGGATGCTGTCCAAACTCACATGCATCATGGACAACACCTCTCACCCCCTGCACCAGACCATAGAGGAGCAGAGCAGCTCCTTTAGTCAAAGACTTAGACACCCTGTCTGTAAGAAGGAGTGCTACCGCAGGTCATTCGTTCCTGCTGCCACCAGACTCTATAATATGCACTATAACCACAATAACTCCTGTAAAAACCACTGTGCAGCTATATTATAGTTTTTTATTTATTGACTGTGCAATATTCAGTGCATTATGCTGACTGTGCAATATATGTGAATGGAATAGTCATACCACTACCTCACCATTGCTCCTCACCTACTACACTTTAATGTAAAAGTAAATCCACCTGTATATAAGCCATCCTGATTGTACATAGGACACCTCAAACCTCTGTGCTACTCCCTTGTATTTTTTTATTTCTTATTTTTATTTTGTTTTCCATTGTGTGCAATACATGTACACTTGCACCTTAATCCTTATTTATCTTGACATACTGTATATACCTTGATATGCTGTATATATATTGTTTATTCTTAATGCACCTTTTTCCTCCTTGTTTGCACCTTCTTTAATTACAATGCCAATATGTGATCAGTGAATTTCTCTGCTGTGAGATCAATAAAGCTCATCTAATCTAATCTGGTTCAAAGAAAGACTGACCAGTTTTACTGGTAAGTTTGGTGCTGCTGGCACTGCATGAAAAGTG